GGAGGCCGAGCGTGGGCCGGGTGAGTGTCCCCGTCCCGCGGCCGCTGCCAGGGAGGCCGCTGCCCCTGGGCCGGCTGCCCCGCGGCCGCTCAACTGCAAGGCCCGGAGGCAGGGGAGGCCGCGCCCGCTGCTCGGTGCCTCTCGGGCGGGGGACGTCAAAGGATGTTTGTTTTGATGCGAGTCAGCTTCTTTAACGTTTCCTCCCCCTCCAGGTGCGATGCCGCCGAAGGAGCGCGGCAGAGGCAAGCTGCCGGTTCCTCTCCCGAGAGACATGATCCTGAAAGACACCGAAGGAAAAGTCTGGCGGCTGGGCAGTCAGATCGGCCAGGGAGGATTTGGCTTGATCTATTTAGGTAAAATGCCTGTGGTAATTCGGAAGGGGACTTGTACATTTCTTTGTATGTTCCATACATGAATGAGACAGAATGGGTTTTAAAAAAATTACTTGTGTTTTCGTGCTGTTGGTTATCTCTGTTGGAGTGTGGTTTTCTGACTGTCTCAGGACGCTGTTGTGTGTCCTGGTTCAGAGGAGTTGCTCATGTTGCAGCGTTCTCCAGGGGCCAGCCAGACCAGGTTGCTGGCTCCTCGTGTAGTGCACTTTTTTCTGGGGAGCTTGTGAACGGTAGGCAAGGTGCTACTGCTGCTGTCAAACACTACTGAAGAGCACACAGTGCTCTTCAAATAAGTGGTGTTGCTTTCGTGAGCCACTTTGGGCTTATGCCAGTCTTAGACATGGAACGCTCTTATGCCAGGAATGCTCTGGGTTTCCTGTTATTGGAAATGTTGTCTACTGGCCAAGACTAAATCAATTTTCATCTGAGAAAATATAACAGTAACAATAATTAGATGGATGTTGCCTATGAGTTAAAATCCTTCATCAAACGTGGAAATGCCATTCTTTATTTCCTGTAGTCTACATATATTTCTGTCTTTTCTTCAGAAGAAGCTGCTGCATTTCACTAAGTCTGTGTTTTGTAAGGAAGGCATGGTTTTGAAAGGCAGTCTGTGAAGCATTCCAGATGACTGAAGATTATATAATTTATGTTACTATTGCTGGTCTCTATAAAAAGAGCAAATCCTGTTTTCAAGCAATGCTATGAGTTTGTTTCGTTTGGGTTTTTTTGCACTGCAAATGTATACAGGCAAACTAGTCCACAGTGACTGACAGGGACCAAATTGAGCTTGTATTAAGTCGGCAGTGAAGAATTATCTAGAAGCAGTTGAGTATATCGTCCCTGGAGCCAAACATGATCTTTTTATGTTAGAGGTTTGTTAACTCTGTATTTGGAATATTAATGTTTAAAACTTCATAAGCAAGTCAGTCATATGCATAAACTGATTTTCCTTTATCCATGAATCAGCTATACCTTAATATTTTAAGCTTTTCCTTTTTGTGCATTTCTGCCATGGAAAATACAGTTTTGCTAGTTTCCCAGTCTTGGTTGGCTCTTTTTTGTTTGTTTGTTTTTTACTGATCTCTTAATGATGTTTCCTTCAACTTCACATTGGGTGATTTGTCAGAAAATAATCTTAATAGATACACTGTTCTGCAGCATGAGCTTTCTACTTAGTGTGATTTCCAGATTTTTATAATGAAACACGTGTTGATTAGAGCAGACATCATATGTCAGGTGCCTTCTCAGTTCTTTTGTCTTTAGTAGCTGATGTTCTGCACGCAGAGACTCCTTTCCGTGCTAGATTTGCTGTGGTTTCATGGAGGTGAAGGTGTTGTCCATCAGTGTCAAATTGTAGCATCAGACACCTACTGTAGAGAGAAGATGTTTGTGTTTTCTACAGAAGGGTTAGTGTGCTTGCTCTTTTTGTAATTTGCAGTCATAAATGTAACACTCGGGTGCCACTGGTCTCCTGATGACAGATTTACTGTGATCTTTGTTACATCTGTCTGGCTATCTCATGGTGCTTGTCTGCTTTCAGCTGTTCAGGAACATTTTATATTGCACTGAAGTGTTCTTCTCCCTCTTTTTTTCCTTCTCCTGTCCATTATGGTTAATCACAAAGAACTGAATGGCAGCTGAAGATTGGTGTTTTATTTCATGGTGTGACAGTCCTATATGTGGTCAGATGTTGCTTCTCTAAAGTGGTTGTCCAGTTGTACCGTTCTAGCTATTATTCTGTGGCTATAAACTTCAGGAGGGTGGACAATTTTACTTGTACCATCTGAAGCACCTCTTCTATGGAGACAGGCTGAGATAGTTGGGGGTTGGTTCAGCCTGGAGAAGAGAAGGCTCTGGGGAAACCTTATAGCAGCCTTACAGTACCTAAAGGGGACCTACAGGAAAGCTGGAAAGCAACTTTTTATGAGGGGATGTAGTGATAGGACAAGGGGGAATAGCTTTAAACTGGAAGAGAGTAGGTTTAGGTTAGACATTAGGAAGAACTTGTTTAGTGTGAGGGTGGTGAAACACTGGAACAGGGTGCCCAGGGAGGTTATGGGTGCGTAATCCCTGGAAGTGTTCAAGGCTAGGTTGGATGGGGCTCTGAGCAACCTGGTCTAGTAGGAGGTGACTCTGCCCATGTAGGGGGCTTGAAACTAGAAGATCTGTAAGGTCCTTTCCAACCCAAACCATATTCTATGGCATAAGTTGCATCTAGACTTCAGGTTTTTGTGAAGGAGCTTTCAAGGCTGGAGGGAAGTCATAAATTGGCTCTTAGAAAAAGAAGAAGGTGCATTTTGTTTTCTGAATGCCCGTGTAAATGAAGCAAAAAGATTTCAGTAACAACCTAAATACCACTGCTGCTGCTTTTCTGTGAAGTAAACATGGTTACTGAAAAACCTGGAGAAACTAAGTATATATGTTTGCAAGTAGTTTGGTGTAACAGAAGTGAATGAGTAAATGACAGGACTGGTAGCTATGGCCTAACATCTACTGTATTTAAGCTGTTTTACTTTGAACTAGGTTTGGTGTGCTCTGCTGTGCTGAATTTCTTCTCCAAGTGAATGGCTTGAGACTGTCTGAAGGGACTGCTTTGAATTCTTGTTCTGCTGTTATGAGTTAGGAGTGCATCTGATGGGTTCCTCTAGTAGAGTTTCTAGTTTCATTTCTTCTGGTGGAAGTGGGTGTAGTTTGCTATGCGCAAGAAAAAAAAACACAACAACAAAAAAAACCCCACAACTGTTCCTAAAGTGTGCTTGAAAAACTCAGAATATAGCTCTGTCATTTGCTGTTACAGTCAAATCACACTGGACCTTGTGAGTGGTAAAGCACATGGAATTCAGTCAGTTCCATGCAGATTTTATTCATTTTCTGCCTGCTCACACAGACCACTGAGGTGATTCCATGTATCACGGTGTTTTTGCAGTTTGACTCATACTGAACTGAGGTGGAAAGCAGTCAGTGGATTAGCTGGGAATGAGAATATGGTTGGGGCCCTTGGTGTTACTCTTGTGGTTTTTTTATAAGTGACAGCATGGCTGAAGAAATACAGGTACCACTTTTATAATGGTATTTATGTTCATTTAATCTCTTATTTCAGAAGGGGTAGGGAATGTTACATGTAGCACTGAACTGAAGGCTTAGTTCCTCTTGTAGCTCATCCTACAATTCTGTAGCTTTTTTAGGACTTGATCCTACAAAGAGTTCAGCTGTGTTTGAGAATCAAGAGGAGTGAAGTAGATAATGCACCTTTGCAAGTAAGATATAGATGCTTAATACTGAGAGGCACCTTCTTTCTCTGTGCTGTTCAGACTAGTTTTTACTGCGTATACAGCAAGATGTGAGAGGACCACTGAACTTTCAGTGAGAAGCTAACCCAGAAAGAGCTGTAGAGAGGTGGGCAAGACAGGAGAGTGGAGACAGATTTGTCTGCCTGCCAGCTACGAACAGCACAGCCCTTTTATAAAAGCAAAGGTTAACTTTGTCAGCTATATCTTTTAATAAGTATTTTTACAGTAGCAGTGTAAAGATTTTGATGTGCATTGTTATAGCTTAATTTGCCATTAAGGGTACTCCATACTCCATTAATCTATCACAATGTTCTTAAGAAATTTTACAGTATCTCTGCAAAATATATTTAGAAGGGATGCATTCTGTGGGAGGTTCTGTTCACTAGAATCAAAGCTGCTGAAAGCCATTTCCTGACCCTGAGCCCTAGAATGCAAATAATCTCTTCAGGTGCAGGGCTTCTAAACTTCTAATTATGTACATGAAGGTTACAGCTAACTGCAAATTCTGTCCTGCCTCAGAAATGTTGTCCCCAGTTTTCTAATTATTTTCTCTTACCTGTCTTTGCTATCTTATCTATTTCTTTGTTGACTTGTTCCTTACCTTGGATTCCCGTTGCATTTTTATCTCAACCAGAGCAAATCCAGCAGCAGAAGGCTCACAAATACTGATTACTCCGAGTGCTTCTGAAGAGGAAAGCTTTTTCTGCTGCCAGAAGCAACAGAAGTCATCTAGAGATGTTCTCTCAAACACTGCTTTTGTTGTAGCAAGAGCAGTATAGATCATAAGCTGGTATTAACTGTAATGCTGTATGTTAGAAGTTTGGTTTTCTTTTTCTTTCTGGTGCTGATTTGCTGTCAGGCACCTCAGGCAGAGAACTGCTATCCCTTTGCTAAGGGGGAGCAGAATGGAGAGAACTGCAGAAGACTGTGACATTGGTGGTGTCACAGCTAGTTTGTAGCCCTGTGGAGAACAGTGGCAGTACACTGGGAAAGTAAGCAAGAGTTGAGGAGGGTGCTACTGAGAGCCTCACATTTTCTCATTTATCTTCCTGATCACAGTCAGTAATTAACACCACTCTTTATAATAAATCATTCTCTTGTCCTGCTGCAAGCACTCTATTAATGCACAATTTAGGCTGAAAATTTAAAAGCAGAAAGGTCACACAATGTTTTGTTAAGATTCCACTGTCACAGTGAAATCTGCTGTATGCAGCACTATCTGCTTGCAGGCTTCTTTCTTGTGGAAACCAATGGTTCTGCAAAATACTTATTTTTGTAGAAATTTGTATATACACATGCATGTTAGTGTCTTTTACATTAGAACTTGTTATGTTGTAAATATATTTTAATTGTGTTACATCTGTATATTGTAATGGAATTGTGTGATAGGTGAAAACTAGGAGTTTTGAAACCATTTTTCGTAGCTGGCTTTGCAGCAGGTATTTATTGCTGGTTTTTTGCATGTATTGTTACAATGTGGGAAGCTCAGGAAAGTACATATTGATAAAGCTATAATCGGTGATAATTCTGCCCTGCTGGTAGATCTGTTACCAGTATAGCCAGCACACTATTCTTCCTTTTTTGCCTCCTGTTTTCCAAGAGGCAGTGAAGAATGAATATCTTGAGCAGTAAACAGTGATTAAATGGGTGCATACTGTCTTTTAATAC